TCCGCCATTTTGAAACATTTGAAGGCGGGAACTGAGTGCGCATGCTCAGCGGTTTTTGAGACCTGTCTAAAGTTCCTACTAACTCGGCCTCTTCGCGGCCTAAAACCTCGAAGCTCGCTTAGTTATAGAGTGTGTGCATTGTCACGCAGTACAAACTACTAGTAAAATCAAAAACCATTCAGTGGATAAAGTCAAGAAATTGTGATACTATAGACGAGAAATAAAGAAGACAGTTCTTCGAGTTTAACGTCTGTGCGTTGTCCCAAAGATGAGATATTCGTCGAAATGTTCCGCGCAAAATGATAGAGCCTAGTATAGAGCAACCATGTTGGAGGACCTCCTATGGTGGCCAGAAAATAGTGTGAACATCTGGAACTTACTTTGGCTATCTAGACAACTGATTATCCGAACCGAACCAAAAAACATTTGCACAAGCACTTTTCCTAAAACTTTAACTCTTAAAATGGCTAAAAATCATGAGAAAAGTGTATATTTTTCGACAAACGCGATCTTAGCTTCATGTCACGCACCGCCATTCAAAATGCGCTGGTTTCCAAACGAAGGACGCTATTGAGCTGGAAAGTTGTAAACAGATATAAATTTAGTACCTCTTATGCCTGATGAGGATAAAACTTTTGGGGGCTCTTTAGTTTTGGATTTGAGAATTTGATGACGTCACGTGAACACACTCTAGTCTACCCTGAAACTCATGGGGTCGACAAGTCTAGTCAAAGACAAACAACTTTCTGATCTCGAAGTAAAGCCACAGCGGTGTCTGGTGAAGCCGGACAAAGATAATATGATATAAGTGATAAGAGGCAGCATCACTTGCTACAGTTTTAGTCAAACAGCCAGGCCCTACGTTACATTGTAGAATAGAAGTAAGCAACATTGTTCACATAACATTTCAAACTTTGTCCTTCCAGAGAGCTAATATTAATCAAGACAGCTTAAAACACATATTGCAATAGAAATGAGCTAAAACGAAGTACACCTACAGTGGCGGATCCAGATCTTGAGCCAAGGGGGAGCGACGGTTTTGTTTTGCTTGCCCTGCCGCCTTTTCTTCCTTCTGTGATTTCTTCTTTTTTNGGGGGGACCCGGGCCTCCTCCCTACATCCGCTACTGACCTAAAGCAAATGGCGAATTATAGTGTATTTCAGAGTCGGTCATTGCTGTGGCACTGGCAAGGCGCTAGCAAATACTTATACAGGTTTTGTTGGACCTCAAGGGTCTTCATTAAGGAGGTTTTATTGAAAGAGTCCAACAGCCAAAAATACACAGAGAAAATAAACAGCTCAGGAAAGCCATGTTGTCATAGGAAGCTGATAGATAAAGAGAAGTTTATCACTCTCTTTTCTTCTTAGAGCAATAGAAGCGAGCAAAAGGGAAAAGTATCAATTGTCATTGGCAATCTTATTCTAATTTTCTAGGCCACAGATGTGTCCCTTCTTTACTAAGAAACACTAATCGCGGAAATTTAACAGTTGGTGAACCCATGTAAATTGACAAACTAAACGAAGCGAACAAGCGAACACACTAAGCTGAGCGAACAAGCGAGTCTTCGAGCGAGTGAGCTAATACGGTATTAAAAACTCGCGAGTAGAAACGATATCAGGCTCTCAACATTTAATAGTTATTCATTTCTTATTCTTAGTTTTCAATCTTTAAAATATTCGTATATTCCATTCATGTTATTCAAACATTTCCTCCTCAAGTTTTGCATCATTGCGTGGCCCAATTATTTATGAACTAAATCCCGCTCTATGATTGGCTACCCGAGAGGACAAGATGGCGCTATCTTGGCCGCTCGGGATTACCTGGGGCGCTCTCCATTGGACCAAAAATTCCAGTGTGAATAGGTCATATTCGTATTCTCGGTATTGGACTGGAACTAGCTTGCAATGGAGGCTCATGCGGGGATTATCATTAAAAAGAGATAAAAGTCATTTGCATTTGAATAGACTTCCTGCATTAGCCTCTGTTGCAAGCTAGTTCCAGTCCAATACCGGGAATACGAAACTGGTCTCTTTCCGGAAATGTCCATTGGCGAATGGTGCAGACTCTTCCAGTCTGGAAAACGATAAGCCGCACAGTTTTGTTCGCTTGGAATTTTTCAATGACTTCGAGGTTTAAATCGCAAATATAGAAGGAAACAGATCGCTGGTAAGTCGACTTTTTATAGACCACGGCAGCAAGGACCTTATACAAACCACAACGGCAGCGAAAACGTCGCA